CACAAGGCCGGGCGCGACCACCATATAGGCGAGCGCTACATCAACGTGAACGTGTCCGGCTGGCTATGAGACCGCGTCCTGACGCGTTCGCGCACTGCTGCACACCGCACAACCTGCCATAACGGCGATCGCCTGCCGATTGACTGCACAGAACTGAAACTCCTCCTGCACGCATTCGACTCTCTGCTCGTTGCTGCTAGCTCCGAGAGCTCTCCCTACCATCGGCCGCTCCGCCGGCACTCACTGTACAGCTCTCGCGACTCGTCCCGTCCTCCTTCCACCTGTGCGCCAACTCCAAACTTTCTCTGCTGCTCGCGCGCACACAACCTATATAGGCATTCTTCTCCCGCACGCAATGGGATATATAGCAAGCTCCGAACTGTACACCGAGAATGAAGACGCGCGGAAAAATCAGGATGGTTTTAAACGGCAGAAGATCCGAGGATACTGATAACGCAGCCAGAACGACGTACGTGATGTCTTTTTTTTCAGAGTGAGAGAGGTAATTGATATTGTGTGCTGGTGACTTTTTTTCAAGGAGAGAGAAACGGACTTGTCATTTTCTCGAGTGGTGGGGAAGATTAGTTGAAAGCTGTAAATCTTTTACATGTTCGTTTCGGTCTTTTTTTATCCAACGAACATTTTTTCAAGCACGACTGCTCTTTCGTCAAAAATATTGACAATATACGAGTACACTTCGCCGAAAGAAATCTACGGTGTCTCATTTTCATTTGATATTACGCTGAAAATATGTGCGTCGATATAACGACTGAGAAAATTTATAAACGCGGCGATGCAAATTAATTTACAGCGCGGGTGTAAATATAAAATCGAATTGGTACTCTGGAGAAAAAAAAAGTTGACATACGACAAGTATATATAATATTTAATCATAGTCTCAGCGCAAATCCATAAATAGTGCCTCGCAATAACACAAAAAAAACAACAAAAAGCAACGGTGGTTAACTCGTGGATTATTATCCCTTTATATATCCTGTACGTACATTATTGCGTACGTCGATTGTGTCGCGTGTTACGAAGAAAATTTTCAAACCAGTACATATATAGAGACTTTACATCCTGTTCGTATATATATCGCCGAAAAGAAGAAAAAAAAGAAAAGATTACTCCACACAGAGAGAGAGAGAGAGAGTGAGGAGAGAGAGGAGAGAGAGAGAAAACAAGTAAGAAGACAAATAAGAAAAAGAAAGAGAGACAGATAAAAGGTGGAACACAAGGATGTGTAAAGAAGATTAAGCCAGAGGAACGTAAAAAGACCGGCAAGAAAGCTTCCAATGCGACACGCACAGAAAAAACGCACGGCGCAGAGTTGAAAATGTATTTTGCTGCGCGCCGCATGTCTGAACAACAGCGCGCGCGCAAAAGCTACTTCAAAAGAATCTCAAGTACGCGAAAGAGAGAAGACGAGTAAGAGATACGACTCTCTCTCTCTCTCTCTCTCTCTCACTTTTACGCCAGCTTTCGAAGCATATGTATACATCGTAGAGCCCGCGCGTGCGCGCACCTCGGGGATATATTGAAAAAGCGATCGGCAAGCCGTGACCAAGATTCAGCGCGCTGCACCGCGACGAAAAGGCGCGACGTGGTCGCGCGGCCTGTTACGAAATGCCGCCTCGTTCCGAGTGATCGCCGTACGTTTTAGAAAGGTCGCAGACGCAGCCTGGCAGAGCCCGCCGCGTTTCGAGATCGTCGCGAGGGGAGACTCGGACGCACTTTGCGCGCTCTGCGAACGTCGGCGACGACTTTCTTGTAATTACGCGCCGAAAAGATGCGCATCGTTAACGAGCGCCGCGCTAATGCAAATAAGCGAAAGCTCACGGCCGCAGTGGAAATTAAATTTTATCTCGACGCGCGTGCGCGTGTATATACTTTCACTAGCTCAAATTCGCACGATTACGATCACTTTTTATACTCCGCCTCTTCATTACGCCGAATTAAATTACAGAAAGTTTCGCTTTTACTTCTCTCGCGCGCGCAGCGTCGCTATGGTATAATCGAAGCGGAGCAAGGTGAAATATGTATTTGCGGGACAAGGATGACTTGACAACGTGAATATGTAAAACAATATCTCTTCGGCTGAGTCTCTTTCTTCGTTGTGTTGCTGAGAGAAATTGCATAACGACGGATATTGCTAATGACGATATGGTTATGAGTTAATATGGATATGACAAACTTTGACGTCTGACTTAACAGGGAATTACTACTTCAAACTTCATTCTCGTGCAATAGCTTCCTTTAGATTATCGTATACGAGATAGCTTTGTATACTAGTTGTAATATTCGGGTAACTATTTCGAGTAGAAATAGATTTCTGGGTAAAACAGATAATTAATTTGGAGCGCCTTGGACGGCAAATATGTGAAAAGTTTCAAAAGTATACGAAACGACGCGCGCAGGAGTTGCACGTGTTTACTCTAACCTAAAACACATGTCAAGTGAGTTTACCCAGCATTGTCAACAAGGCGTTGTTATTTCTTTTTTAAATTTATATAAAATTACTTAACAATGCTTGAAAGTGAATCGGAAGAGTTGGTGACTGTCGGCAGCCACGTGATAATTCAAAGATTGAATTTCAAGAAAGTATATAGAGTTTCGGAGACCGGTTCGCTGAATCTCGGCAAAGAAGAGATCAAAATGACTGAAATCATTGGAAAACCATTCTGGACGACGTACAAAGTGATAAGTTCAAATGAAAAACGAGATAAGAGAAGTAAAATGACTCTGATAGTTGCTGAAAAAAAAGATTCATTGGAAGATTTGAAGGATAAAATAGCAAGTGGATATGACAACCGCTCAATCAACGATGATGGCAAATCACAGAAACTTTCTAAGGATGATATTTTGAGTTTGAAAGATGCTGGAAAATCTGGACGCGAAATAGTAAGCAGTCTTATTGAAAATAATGCTTCTTTTACTGAGAAAACTGAATACTCACAAGAGAAGTATATTCGTAAAAAGGAGAAGAAATATTGCCAGTTTATTTCAGTTCACAAGCCAACACTAGCTGCATTACAGGAGATTTATTTGAGACAAGATCCTGCAAAGATTTACAATTTGAGAATGGACTCGTTGGCTCAGATACTTTCTTACAGTGATGTAAAATCTGAAGGCACGTTTATGTTATATGACAGTGGAACTGCTGGCCTTGTTGCAGCAGGTATGTTATCGCGAATTGGTGCAAAGTCTTCTGGCAACTTAGTTTATTTGCACTCTGGAGATCATCTACCCCAAATGCCTATTGCAAGAGCTATGAATTTTCCAGATGAACAATTTTCTAGACTAACTATTGCTAGTGTATTTGACTTTCTTAAGCTATATAACAAGGCAAATAAGGTTCCAAATGGTAGTGCGATAGATTCAAATACAATGGAAATAAATACTGAAACACTAACGCTTGATAATCAAGGTGTATCTGATAAAACTCAAGACAACTGTGAAAACAATTGTAGTACAAATTCTAGTGGTTTAAAGAGAAAAGCTATAGATAGTCCTCAATATGAAGGGCCTGTTGTTAAAAAATCAAGAAAAGTATTGGATATAGAGAAAGCTGTGGAATTAGTATTGCACTCGAAAACTGACAGTTTAGTTATAATTGCAAAGGAGCATCCATTAAATATTATTAAAGGGCTGTTACCATTTGTGCAATCATCCAGACCATTTGTAATTTATCATGCGAATAGAGAAGTTCTTCAGGAAACATACGTAGGATTGAAGCAGGAAAACAGTGTGATAAACATAAGGCTTTTTTCAAATTTCTTAAGATTATATCAAGTCTTGCCAGACAGGACTCATCCAGATATTTTAATGAATGACTGTGGTGGTTATTTACTCACTGGTTATACTATTAGCGAATGATATAATTTGAATTGTTTTAAACAAATTTTTTTCTGATCAACGCAAGCCTGTAAGAGATTTCTGTAAATAAACTATTTTCTATAGAAAAATGATGTACATACAAAGTTGCGAAATGTACATACTCATATGATGAGAAGCATTGTTGAACACATTTTTATAAATTTAAAAAATGAACTATAAATTGATTTTGTATTTCTTTTTGTAAATATTACATCTAAACATTCTATCCTGTACAACTGTATTATTTTGATAATTAAAATGATTATTTTATGAAAAATAGGTTTAATTTGCTTATTTCAACTTATAAATTACATTATTGTCTTGCTACATATACTTGCTCAGTATATTCTTTTCTAGCAATGGCATTTCCTTATAAAGAAGAAGTTAACTGATAAAATGAAAGATTTATTTTTTCAGTAATTTTTTTGGATCAAAGCATAATAAAAATAACATGTTCTGAAAATCTGAAGAATATATAGACTAAAGTTTAGTCATTATCTATATTGAGTACCTATGTTGAATTTGTATACGTCAATATCGTAGTCAGTTCGTATGCACGTATGTTATTATTGATAACAAAGCAACTTATTCGTCCTGAGGAGTTAAAAATTTGTTTAATGTTTCTTGTTTTTTAATATATTATTCAGATTAAATGGATCTTTTCAAATTCAGGAAAGTAAATCTAAAAAGCTATTATTCATAGTGGATTTATAGATAAAAGTCGATACTCGGATGAAATGATTTTAACATAAAACAATAAATAACGTAAGATATATTAAGAAAATGAATTACATTGGAGAATCAACAAAGTAACTTATTCTGCATTCAAGTTAATTGCTTCGTAAAATTGTTTTGTTCATTATATATTTACTAAAACTTTACACATATCTACTTTGGAGAGTACGATTCGCAATGAAACGAATGTTTTATTGTTTCACAGATTTTTGGTTTAGACAAACCTGAAATGTAGATTGAGCGGCGAGTGTGCGACAAATAGTATAGCCTCCGGTTTGTGGTTGTTTTCGTTAACGTAATAATAACTTTTAGATAAACTTCCTTGATCATAGGGTTGTAGACACGTACGCACGAAAATCTGTCGAACAAATCGTTGACAGTATTCGTGAAAGTGATCGTCGGTTGAAATGTCCTGTTAACGGGAAAGCAGTATTGATGTAAAGTGCAGTGAGCGTCGCGATTAAATAGTCGCCAATGTTATACTCTTACGTAACGTAATGTTGGCAAACCAATTGGTCAGTGTTGTTAGATCATTCGTTTTTTGCCATACTTCTGCTATCTGATTCAGCTTGAATCTGCTTTTCTCTAGCCTCTTCTATAGCCTCCAACTGTTTACACTCTAGCTTCCGCCTCTTTTTTTCTTCGTTTGGTAACAGCCTCCAACTCTTGACTCCTGACGCCGAGATCGCCTGATGGCTTATTTTACTTCCACACGCACTTTTTCTGATACTAACAATAAAATTACACTCCTATTCGTATTTTATTGAAATTCTTTCTCATACCGGCACATTTTTCGGTGGCTTATTTAATGAACACAAGTCACGTTATGACGAAAATAAAATCTTAAGCCTATTTATTCCAAAAGCATTGAAATATGCAGAAATGTATACCAAGGACCGTGTTTATCCTTGAAAGTTTTAGGCGTGTAGATTTTCATTATGAAATCGCAAATAATCGCGCCTTCATCCGAGCACTTGCAATAACCGCGAAAAATAAGTTGAATCTGATTATTCGTGGCGCTCCTTATGGGCCTATTCGCGTGAGTTAGTGATACTATGCGGGCGACGTTCGACGTTGCTTACTTGTCTGACTCGTGATCAGTAAACGACGCGACCAAGCGATCGCTTGGAAATAACAATTTATAGTTTTTATTGAATTATCATGAATATTTATTATAAAGCCAGTTAAATGCTTTAAAACATGTACAGTAGGATCGTAAGAGAAGAGTTGTGTTCTCGGATAAGAACTCATCTCTCAAAAGAGAAAATAAACGATTAAGTGGTTGGTTATTTGCTGTCGGACTGCAGTGTCTCGGATGAAAGCCGATAGTTTAAGCAATTATTAAAATGCTATATAGCCGAAAGTGATATTCGTCTCCGGTAAAAGGTCACGTTGAGCTAACAAAACCTTGAATCATGAAAACTTTTAAAACCTTAACGTCCTTTATTACAAATATTTCATAGTTAGCAAGCAGTTTATTAGCTTTTTTTCTATCATATATTTTATATCACTTAAGTCAAAAGCGGTCGACTGTCATATTGCAATATGAACGTGTTTCTTTTCACGTATACGTATAAGTTATATAATCAAGCCCTAGACGATTTAAGAAAATTTGAATTCTTCAAATGTGAATTTCATTTTAAAAGTGCGCTGTATAATTACAAGGCTCGTAAAATTTTATAAAAATCCTGAAAACTTGTACAATTTTTGAAGAAAGATGGGAAAATTCATCCGTAAATCTTGAAAAAAATGTTAGATGAATCAAGAGTTGCGAGGGAAAAACGCATGACTTTAAATTAAGTTATATTTACTTTTAATAATACTTATAAGCGAGTAGCTCCTCGATTGAAGGATAATGTTTTCATCGGATGAATTTTTACTTCCAGAAAAGAAAGATACAATGCTCCATTCAAATTAGTTTTCTTAGAAATGAACCGTATCGCACAAACGCGCGCTTTAGCGTTGGATGATTATGAGACCGTGTAACGCACAATCGTAGTTGTAGAAATTTGAAAATCTACATTTTACATAAAATATATCAATAAATTGATTTACACTGTTCGTAAATACTAGCTTTTACAACCATTAGATTTGTACAAATTTATTATTATGATAATTAAAATAAATATGAAATGAATATGCGTGCAGTCATTCCACTTCCTTGGGCGTATAAACTACATTATAAATTTCACCATTTCTACGGGCTCGTTTTTTCTCTTTTCTGACTATTTCACTGATAATACCCGCTCCTAAGGAATCGGCTATGATATTCACAGTCGTCCTGAATCGATCACTGAAAAAACCAACCACAAGTTTCATTCGACTCGATGAAAACAATTTGCATTGTTAATTTGCAGCGACAGTTTCGCGGAAAAAACCATCGATCAAATGATTAGCTGCACGAAGAATACTTAACACAAAACTATCCACGGCAATAATTAGCGTAACATCCTCGGCGGGAATGCCCAAGGAATTGAGCACCATAATTAGCATGGCGTAGCCGCCGCTCGGCATCCCCGCAGCGCCGATGCAAGACAATGTGCAGGTGATGCTGCAACAAGCCCAACCGTGACGTGAAACCTAGCCATTACGAGCTAATTTCGCGTGGCGTTTTATAAAACTACGCGAGGATGTTTCGAAAGCGTCAAGCTGGCTTTTATCGAAAAGAGAAAATGAAAATGGAAAAAAAACAATAAATAGCACGTGGAAAGCCGTTGCTGCGTTGCACGATTTTTATACGTCGAGTACGCGCTCGAATGAAAACGTTAATTCACGAAAAGAAACGAGTGCAACAACGATTCGCTTTTCGAAAACACAATATCGGTCGAATGCATTTGGAAACGTTACGACGATTATCGAACTACTGCAAATTGAACTCAATTGGCAAATCGATGAGTGTGAATACATGTTAAATAGCTTCGATCAACAAAACAAAACAAAAAAATATTAGCCGTGTTTTTCCTCGAAGTTGCATAAATCTGAGTTCCGCGAACCCTTCGAGCTTGATGGGATAATATCCATGAATAATGCATAAGAATAAATTTATCAGCCCCGCCGGAAAAAAAAGTCTACGCGCGCGAACAACGACGCGTCCGAGTGACGCTCAATCCAAGATTGAACGATGATCGTCGAATTTCTTCAGAAGTGCCAAACGGCGAGTTAATTGTTTTGTGCGATAGCATACCTAATGGCTACGGTCTGCATAAGCGATAAATCTAGACCTCTCATTTGCATAATGAAAAGTGCACCGACAGTCTCGTAAAGCGCGATCCCGTCCATGTTTATCGTCGCCCCGATCGGAGCCACGAATCTCGAGACCTGTGGATCCATGCCAAGTTTATCGAGGCACCTGATCGTTGTTGGGACCGTTGCCGTGCTGAAAAGATCACGTTACGATTATGAGTTCTGCGGAGCGTCTTGGCGCAAAAATCCGGCGGCGCAAGAAAAGTAAATTGTCGAGATATCGCAAACTCGCGAAGGACGCGAGCGCAAAATGGCAGCGCGTCGTTTAAGGGTTTGGGCGATAATTGCAAAAGGCAGGAAAAAGAAAAAAGAAGAAGGAAAGAGGAAAAGAAAAAGCGATCGAGATTTTGGACTGCTCTCAACTGGTTTTGCGCGAGTCGGAGGATAAAGCACCTTGAAGAAGTGCCGAAGGCAGTAATGAGAGCTGGCCCGACGCTCGTAATTATTTTGTAAGGCGAGTGGCGCGTGCACGCCAAGTAAATGAGCGGCAGCACGAGCAGCGCTTGAATCGCCAGACCCGCGAACACCGTTAACACGAAGATTCCCAGTCGCGCGACTTCCAGGCCGCTCGACTGCTCGCCGCCTCTCAGGATCTTGCTGGATATCAGGAATATTACGGCGATCGGCGCAGCCCTGCAAAACAAGACGAAATATCGCTCCGCGGACACGCAGGCAATTTATTAGTTTGCACCGCGCCCGTAGATGCCGTTGCCCGATTATTCGGGCTCTTCTCCTTTTCGATCGCGCGAGATTTCCTCGACAAATGCCGCGACGGGCGCCCTCCTCGCGTCCAACCGGAATTCTACATTTCTGTTCTCAGGCGGCAGCGAGATTCGTGCCTCGTGCCGAATGACAATGTCGACGCTTTTCGATCGATGCCTAGAAGAGAAGAGCGGCCCGTGCGCGCGCGCCGAGACACGAGGCGAAAGTACAAGTGAACGCATCGGAGAGTAAACGTGTTTTTTTTTTTTCCGTTTTGTTATCGGTCCTCATCGGCGCTCCGAGTCTAATTGTCGTCGCGGTGAGGGCCGGTAGGCGTTATTGCGCTCGAGGAATCGCGAGCGAGCCCGGGAGAAGCGAAGCCTCGGTTCTGGTTAGCGCGCGTCGTATACTTTGGTGGTTTGCATGGGGCAAGGGGCGGTGCCTACTTGATCACCAGGTCTATGATCTCGGCAGTGGCAGCGGCGAGGCTGCGGAAAAAGCTCTGTAACGGCTGTTTGTGCTCGTCGGCCATCGCGCCGAGTGTCAGGCCGAATACCAAGCCGCAAAACACCAGGCCGAGAACGTTCGTGCCGCTGCCGTACTCGCGCGATATTCCCATGTCGTACACCGGCGTTGTCGCCGGCGAGTCACCTGCTGTTGTCGCCGCCGCTGCTGAGAAATGACAATGCACGTGAGAGGTGTTGCCGGAACGACTCGCTCGCTTCGTCTTCTTACGGCCTGCGTTGCGCAATTGCGCACTGATTACGCGACGATCGTTCGACGAGGAGCAGCAGTTTTTTTTTTGTTTTGCAATTGTCACCGAGTCTGTGAAGGCACGCGTTATTCCATCTTAATTTGACGTATTCGATGTTAATAAGATTCATTGCGAACATTCGAAGAATAAATAAAATTACAATTTTCAACGATTAAGAGGAAAGCTCATAAATTTTTTCAAAATCAATTTGATTCAAACGCTGGATTCACCATATCTTTCGAATTTTATCACCCACATCGGTGGTCTAAAAACGTCATCAATCTATAATCGTTTCAAATACTGAGTGCTATAAATTCATCAAAATTCAAAAAAATGTTCAATTATAACGCGCGCATCGATTTTTCCGAATGACTCTCGCGGTTCTTCAGTTTAAACGACATAATTACCTATTTTATCACAGGATACATTTACTTTTGAATCAATTAAAACTGTTTGATACTGAAAAAACAACATACGCAAATTAAACGATAAAACTGAGCAAAAGGATAATTTTTATTTCCAGAAAAAATGTGCATCCTTTACCTGAGACAGTGTGGCCTGTATCAGATTCTCCGGCAGTAAGTTCCTGGAGTAAAGTAAAAAGAAAAATAGAGCAAAAGCGTAAATTACTTTGACAGGCTGCAATAAACAGTCTGCCCGTGGAGTTTTGTGCCAAGAACGTTCCAAACCCTATACGTCACGTAGCGAGCACTTGTATTCCGTTACAAAGGCGTTTTCTCTCATGGACGATAAAACCAAGCAGAGAACCCGGGGAAAAAGGGGAAAAAGAAACGGTACCGATTTCGTGCTTCGATTGCGCGAACGCGATTCTCTCTCTCCGACGAAGTTGACTCTGCGATCGGATTCTCACACGGTGGACAAAAGGAAAAAGAGAACGTAGCTTGATTATGGCAAGTTGCTATGTTACCTTAGCAAATCCAGAAGCGTGTCGACGGTGACGAAGCTCACGTGAGCGCGCCGCGGTCGAATGTCAGTGGCATTGATTCCGTCGGTCGTTCCCCATTTGCCGGGTTGAACGGTCAAAGACAGCGTGACGCACAGAGCGATCCCTAGCGAAGTCGTGGTTACGTAGTACAGTAACGCCTGGATCCCTATGCTACCTGTTGTGCGACCCCAGTAACATGTAATGCCAAAGCGCTCGCTCACCAGCCGGAGGGTAAAGTCTGAATTGTCTTGCCAGATTTGCTGAGATTTGAGCTCGCGCTGACGATACTCGATATGACGAGTGGCAAGATGCAGCAGTTGACCGTTCGCAGAAAGAGCTCTCCCGGGAACTGCAAGTACATCAATTGACGCTCCGTCCACGGCTGATTGGTCCAGAATTTCAGGCCCACTCCGAGCAGAACACCGCAGAAGATGCCCAGAAAGATCTGCGCTGTTGGTCCTGGTCGCCACACGCCCATTTTCTCACCCGGTCTTTCCAAAGCAGAGGCGAGCTTTTCGTGCCAGCTTTCGCCCGCGCGCTCAACGTATTCGCTGAATTCGACTGAATCGTAATGAGTGATTGCTATTAAAAACCTGTCCAATATAGTCGCTATTATCTCGCCCTACAACGAACATTTTTTAACGACAGTTATATAGTCACTTTCTTTTCTGAATATTATGCACACCGTGGCATAAACTGCAGTCTCCGTAACGTAAACAATAGATTGGACGAACAGATAAAAGTAGATAACATTAAAATCAGTAGTTGATCAGTAGTGGAGTAATTTACACATTGATTGAGGTCTAAACGATTAAAATGTTGCGCAGTGCCAAGAACGAATCTCTCAAAATAAATACTAGTTTTTATTCAACAGCAATATTATTCTCTTTTTGCGGACCCTTTAAACGTATGTGTACGTGAGTTCGCGTGTGTGTGCGTGTGTGTGGCGGCTTGACTATACTCACTTGACTTCTTGCAAGAGCAATTGCAGTCAGCGCAACGCTGAAGTACCAAAACTAAGCCACTTTAAAAATGACGGAGCACACGTACGTAATGTAGAGCTCCTTTAGTTCAGCATTATTGAATTAATGCAAGCCTACGTATACTTTGTTACTCGTGTCTGGTAAACTATTGACAATTTTTCTTTCTTTCACATTGTTGTGATGTTATTTGTACACAGAGCGAGGTAGAGTTACAACAATGCGAATGAAATATAACGACGTTCATTTTTACTTTCGTGTAGCAGTAACAGTAGCAAGGTAGTATCAATTTTCTGATAAAACGCGAGCACTCGCGGTGTTACATTGCAAGCTCGCGTACAAAAATTGTTTGACTGTCAGTAGCGCTCGTGAGAGTGATATGTCTGATATGCAACTTACGTATACGTACCAGCTAGTTCGTACGTCTTTTTTTCTTACTGATACGACGCAGACTGAGATGGCTTTTTTTTTTAAGCAAGAAGGAACATCTCTTACGCACACACTTCTTGACTTGACACGTTAACAAGACTAAACATACAATTGCTATCATGATTTAACTTCCGAAATTTGAAGTATCATAAATTTGTAGAGCTTACGCGTAGCTTTACATTCTTTCTATCAATCAATGGAAAGTTTTGATTTAAAAACGTAATGTAAAACATAAAAATCATGTTACATTATATAAACATTGTATAAAACAATTTTATAATTTGAAAAAAAATGTTTTCAAGACATATTACAAAAACAGTAATTTTAAAAATTTTCAAGATATAGGTAGAGAATATTTGGATGGCAATTACAAAGTGATATCAGATTGAATAATAATTTATTATTCAGGCAGCTTCGGTATGTACAATTATGGCTAGCCATAAAATTGGCAGAATTTTTTCAAAAATTATGAACTCTGGAGCATATTATTGCATAACAAGTCTACACCTATCTTGAACAGATTGTAGAAATTTAGTGGAATGAAGTTTTTCTTTTATCAAATTGATTTATCTATTCATAGATCCATTTCTCAGCCCATGAAGCCCAGTCAATGACTTCTTTCTGCTTCTCTTCGCCAAACCATAATTTGATTTCCTTCTTAGCTGATTCCACTGAGTCAGATCCATGGATGATGTTACGGCCAACCTGAATACAAAAGTCACCACGGATGGTACCTGGAGCAGAGTCCTTAGGGTTTGTTTCACCAAGCATCACACGTCCAGTCTTAACAGCGTTGAGACCTTCCCAGACCTGTAATGATTTTTAATAAATCATTATATGAAAAATTTTATTAAGCAACCAAACATCATTTCAGTATCAGGACTTTTATATTTTTAATTAATTCTATTTCAACTCTTTTTAAATTCACCAATAAAGAAATTGCTTTCAATGAAGTAATTTAAAAATAAAAAATTTTGTTATTTTTAATTATTAAAGGCTAATAAAATATCAAAGTATTTTAAAAGTCTTCTAATATCATTGATTCATATTATACTTTTTTTTGACATTTTATTATGTAACTAAGGTCACATGTAGTTTAAAGGTTTCCTCAAGAAAAAAATGCCAAATTCAAGCTACTTATTGAAGTTAAATGAAATTTTACTAAATAAATAATGAAATTCTATTCTCACCATAGGTACAACTGGTCCAGAGCTCATGTACTTGACAAGACCAGGGAAGAAAGGCCTGGCAGCAAGATCAGCATAGTGATCCTTCAGGAGCTGCTCGGTAGGCTAAAAATAAATTAAAATACTTCAGTAAACTCATCACTACCATTTATAGATGTCACAAAAACATTTACACATATTTATACACAGTAATTAAAACCCAACTAGGAATCAACCAAAAAGTAGTATTTGTCAATTCGTATTTAACGGTCTCAGCTGCACGACACAGACCTAGTCAAGGTCGTCGAAGCTACATACACATCAATAGAAATCTAGTTGCTCATCTTATCTATAAAAAAAAACCGAAATAATCTCCAGATAAAAATATAGACTAACGAACAATTACTAACGAACTGTTACTAATACACAACATTATGAACGAAAAATTATGAAATAGAAAATAACAAGCCACGTGTCGGGCATCACTTACCCAAACCATCTTCATGGCGACGAGCTTGAAGCCCTTGTCTTCGAATCTCTGAATGATCTTGCCGACGAGGCCACGTTGGACACCATCGGGTTTGACCATGATAAACGTACGCTCTTTGTTGTCGGTCATCTTGTCAGGTTTTGTTGAACGAAATTTCTACAAGGAAGACGTTATACGAGGAGTGTCTGACGCCGGTGAAATGCGAGAAGAGAGAAGTGGAAAGTAAGGAGCCGCAAGAGATGTTGAGCCGCCTGCCGCAGGTTCTCGTTCTACTATTGACTAATGAGGGCGCTCTAATCCACATTCAATATGACGTCACTAATGACGTTGGCGAAGGACAAATTTAAAACGTGTTACGATGAATTTCGGTGTAAGTCTTGCTCTTGTGATATATTTTTTATAATAGGAAAAAATTATTATAACAATCGAGAAAACAGTGAAGTGCAGTAGCGTGAAACCAATGTCATAGGTCGTGTCATAGGTTGCAAGCATTTTTACTTTTCAAGAATATGCCGGAAGATAACGTAACGCACGAATGCGAATCGAATGTTCAAGAGATGAGCGAAGCACTTTTCCAGTAAATAAGAGAACAAGATAATTTTTTCGTTAAAAGTAAGCGAGTCAAATAAATGATTATACAATCTTCATATGGATAACGTTTTGCTGGCTTGGTTTCAAGCCTTTTCAAATCTTCATTGAATAAACTTTACAATAAGTATCGAAATAATACTGAATTTCTTATTGACACGCTATAAGTTACTTCACATTGAAAATACAAGAGTAATATGGGAATTTTCTTTTTATGTAAAATATAATCAATATACTTGCTGGTGAAGGTAAAAAACAAATAAGTAAATCGGTACGTATATAGAAATTAAAATGCATTTGTTTCCAACTTTGTACAGAAGGCAGCGTTATTTAATAACCTAAATTCATTATGTAATGATCGGTTAATGACAACATATAAAATTTTCGAATTATAAAGAAAATAAAGAAAATCTAAAGTTACGTCGAATTTTTTAGAATATGATTTTATAGTTGAAATTCATCGAAAACTTTTTAATAAAAAAAAATTAATGCTTTTAAATTAATTATCAAGAAAAGATTATTCGACATATCGAGAATAATTACGTCATCACAAAGCTCATATTGCTGGTTATAAAATAATGGAAAGTGAAGTGTGTGTGTGTGTGTGTGTGTGTGTGTGTGTGTGTGTGTGTGTGTGTGTGTGTGTGTGTGTGTGTGTGTGTGTGTGTGTGTGTGTGTGTGTGTGTGTGTGTGTGTGTAAGGGCTAAAAATCCAGTCGCCATCGTCTATACACTCTTCTACATTTTTAAGTTTTTTAGCTGAGATTATTTGGGGGCTTAATCATGCAGATAAAACAAATCTGTACATTATTGCGGCGATGAGTATGAATTGTTTTCGTTGATGTTTCCTGACAGTGATATCACAGAAAAGATTGAAATGAAAAATATGTTATTCAATAACTTGTGAATTGAGACGTCACTTTCAAACTGATTTCACGAAAATAGGCTTTTAATGGTGATTTGTTGGAAAAGCATGGACTTGTTATAAAGAACATTGCTTGAACATTTTATTAAATTTTATTTAAACGCAATAAAACATTTTAAACTATAAACCATTATTTAAACGTTTTATTGAATGGGGTGAATGTTAATAAAACCAAATTTCTTCAAATTCAGAATTATTTTTAAAATTCTTTCGGGCTGGAATTTTTTATTATAATTTAGATTTCCTCTTAGAAGAAAATAATTGAAAATGACATTTTCTAAGTCACTGCAAATTACAGCTAACTGTTCGTAATATCTAATTTGGTACTAGTTAATTGGTACAAGTTTTATTGATATAAATTAATCATTGGAACTATTTGTTTGTAAACAAACTTCTACTAAGTCTTCATACTATGATTTACTTCTTTTCATTCCAGAAAACAACAGGAAGGTCCCCTACTATTCATAATCTCTTGAAAACAAGTTGGCAATTGCACGAATTCGTTCCTGCTCCATCTATACCTTCTTTTTTGAAGAAAAGGAGTAAGGTACATCTCAAAACGAGATATACAAGTATATGTAAGAAAAGTATAAATGACAGAAGTTGTTTTGAGTATTGATTGACAATCAAAGAATTCGATGAATGTACGAAGAAAATTTTTACTGCGTTTTTTATTGCAATATATTAATCTGCACTCGTTTTCAACTTTGTAATGTTCTCGATTTTTCATTTAAATATCCAGTTCACAATTTAATATTAATTGTATCGTCTTATTATTTCACGCTACGGTAGTGAATTCAAATGAACTTCAATCACGCGCCACGCAACGACTAGGGATATTACACTGGAATCCGCGCCATTGTACATCGGCTAGGGAATATTATATTGGAAACTTACTGAAAAGGCGCGTTATTGATTCAACTTTAAATTGCATTATTCAGCAGAGCGAAGCTCTGAAGATTTTACTAACCTTGTAGACACATCGTTTTATATCGACGTCTATATACGAAACTACTTGTAAACATTTGCAAAAATATCATCGCTTGCCAAAGCAATTTTTCGTTCGTAAAATTTCACGGATGCTATACTGTTTATTGCATCGTTTGCAAACTCGCAGCTAAATAGTAAGACAACTCTAAGAAGACGCTTTGATCTTTGGCTGCGAAATTCTCGTCGCAAATCAATTGGCTGAGAGATTTGTTATGTTAGTATACACCGCCATGAATCACTTGATTTTTTCGACTGCAGAGCACCACCAGTGTTCGTAGAATCAGTGGCTAACCTATCGGAAGCTTAATTATAGCAATCTTTCTCGAGACGCCATTCCGCGAATAACTCCTTAAGAATCTCACTGCGGAATTCTTGAACGAATAATAGCTCCTTCAGAATAGGAATTTCGAGTAGTTACTCGTTAAAAATAAACGGCTGTTTCGCAAGAAAGATACAGAAAAAAAAAGACAACGAAACAAACAGTAAAAAGCGCGGGGTCCCCGATTCTTTCGCGCGCCCGTCGCTTTCAAAATTCGAACGTAGAATTATCTTCACGCACCCATAAGTATATATTAAAAGCCGAACGTATCGCATGCGTAGATAGAAGCAAGCGCACCGTCCGACAGATGCCACGACGATCGCTACGCCGCTTTAGCGCAAAAATGCGAGTGTGTATTTTTATATTTTGCCGAGCATCGTACGTTCGATAAAGAGAGGAGCGTGACGCGCGATCAACCCCCAAAAATCGGTCTTGTCATCCGGCCTCTCCCCCCTCTTCCCGTCATGCTCGAAAACCACCAGAGACAAGCTCACCCCGAGGAAAATAGAGAGTGAGAGAGAGAGAGAGAGAGAGAGAGAGAGAGAGATTCGTCAAGTCATCCAGAAAATATGCAAAACACACAGGCGAAAGAAGACGACGACGAAGTAGGGAGGGTGGAGTGTGACGAGGTCGGAGTGGGAGACGACGAGTGACGGCACTTCCTCAGCAGCGGAGCGATGCACGTGCGCGCGCTTCCATTATGGCGAGACAGCAGCGCGAGAGGTAGCGCGAGGTTCGCGTGTCGGTGTCGTATAGTCGCGCCCGAGAGAACAGCGCCGAGAGCGTGTGCTCGCGCTCGCTCGTCGCAGATCGTCCACAGCGGCCTGCCGTGGCTCTCGTTCCGCGCGCGATGCAGACGCAACAGCAGCAACAGCAGCAGCAACAGCAACAGCAACAGCAACAGCAGCAGCAGCAGCAGCCGCAGCCTCAGCCGCAGCAGCAGCAGCAGCAGCAGCAGCAGCAAATCGTCGGCTCGAGCGTCATCCTCAAGATGAACGAGTCCGTGGTGCAACAGCTGTCGACCGTCGGTGAGTTTTGCGAAAGTGGAGCGACTACGGCGGCGGCGGACAGTGGGAGGGGGGAGCTTACCTCCGGCGACATGGTCTAGGGACTTTGCGGCCGCGCTGGCAAGCTCTGGCGCAAGCTCGCTTCGTCGACGGGGCCGCGGCGAGAAAGCTCGGCCGAGCTTGGGGAGGGCGATCGATGGGCGAGGTTAGATCAGCGGCGCGGCTCGCCGGCCAGGCCCGTCGCGGAGTGCGGTGCGCGCGGGCACCCCGAGAGCGCGAGCCTCGTGGCGCGAAATGCGAACGGGCCGCGGCGCGGGGACGCGGGCGCCCGAGCGGCCGCTCATTGATCGGCCGAGTGGAGATTGCGCGTGCCACTTTCGATCTGCGCCCAGCGGGAAACACATGTGCGCCCCGGCCAAGGAGAGCTTTCGTTTAGCCTTGAACTGGTCGTGTGCGCTTTTGATAAGTCGCGTCGCGATATAGACGTTCCGCGCCAGCCTCTGCTCGTCTCCTCGGCGGAGAGCCGCCACGTTCCACGCGCTCGCCAAGTGCTCACCAGCGGCGCGAGCCGAAGAGGTCCGGGCGTTCGCCCGAGTGCACGTTGCTCCTCATGGCGTCTGTCAAAACCAAGTCACCTGGTAATAATAGTCAATAGTCATGTGATTTTTCCGACCGCGCGATCAGCACTTCTCGTTTTACTGCGCCTTTCGCTCGGAGCCAAGTTGCGCGAGTCGACGTCATCTGACTCGCGAGTACCGAACGCAAGCTCCAAAGCTTTCCGTCGCCTTCCAATCGGCGGAATGGAAAAATTTCGTCAACGAGCGCCTCGCCGATAACTCTTTCTGACAATTCGGCCTTGGCTGACACTCCATCTACCTCTTTCATGTGCTCGAGCGATGACTAGCCTAAATAGCCGTGCAATCGATTGTTTTTCATCGAATCGTGTGAAGAAACGAGAAGAAAAAAAAAAAGTTGAACGCGAAAGTAAAGCGGATCGGTGACGCGAGCAGAAAGTACACCTACATAGTCTCTAAACCGTGTGGCAGCAGCGGAAGAATATCATAACGCGTAGCTGTGTGCACGTGAAACAGCGAAGTATTTCTAAATGATTAGATTCGCTGTTTGTATACCGATCGATATCATATCACCATACAAGTGCACTCGACGCGCGACGTGAGTGCTGTTAATCTTGGAGTTGACGAAACGACAATGAAAAATACGAGTGATGGACTTTTCCGTTCGAGGGAATTGTTCGAATTGTCTTGTATGTTAGTTTTTTTTTCTTTTTTTTTTTATAAATATAGCGTGTCGCTGTCGCTCGCACGCGCGACTAGGCGTTAAAAATATAACGGCACAATTTCACTCGCCGCGAAGAAAAGTGTTTGTTCGGTAAGAAAGATTTCCGAGACTGTGCTTTTTATGTTCAGTCGAGTTGATTTGACAAAAGAAAACGAAAAAACTTATCGTTGTGGACGCGAAGTTGTTGGCCGAAAATCGAAGAAAAATGTGGTCGCGGTGTATTGCAATTTTCACTCTGTGACAACTGGAAGGTCATTATCACGCTATACTTCAAAATTGAAGGTTGACGAATGAAACATCGCGTGGCTCTTTCTTTCCTCTTTGAACGAGGGAAAACCCCTTTTATATCTGTTTCGATTGCGTAAAAGTTGGCGAACGCTTTTGCGCGAAATTCCTTTTTGCCGACACGGGGGGGGGGGGGGGTCCGCTTTTTCGGCATCGCGAATCCGATTGTTCAAGGGCACGACACGTATATTTACAGAAGCACTACGCGCCCGTACTTCGCGTAAATTGTATTCTTCGATAAACGCGAAAAGTCTGGCGTAGGAGCATCTTAATCAGATAAATTTTGTTATTCCGCGAGGGAAAACGTCACGTTATGATAATCACTTAGCTTTTCGCACAATGTTACGTTGCACTCGCTGCGGAGAATCTCATTGGAGTATTGTGCAACCAGCGATTTCGCGTTTTCCTCGGTTATTCTCGATGATAAAGTGTCGTGGCGAATTCGGTGGTGCAAACCAGCGACGGCGCCTTGTAATAACGGCGAATTCTCAAAGTGTCTCACTATGAAATAACCTGTATCTCTCGTCAATGGATTCGAAGTAAAACGTTGGTGCAGGCATCACTACAAAAAAAAAAAAAACAAAAAAAACAAAGAAAAACAATCGCGCTGCAAAAAAAGAAGCGGAAACTACAGCGGTCAATTGTATTTTTCCAGGCAGAGAAAAACTCTAGGTGAACGGCAGTGGCCGTGCTGCTCTGGCTGTAAAAGAAACAGCTCGGCGAAACGGTCGCTCGTCGCGACAATATCAGTCGAATTGTTAATTTCAAGCTATCGCTTTTGTGCCTCGAAATTTCAATCGAGATTCTGCATATACATTTTGCCCTGCAGGCTGTCGCGGACGCATTGTGGATTTTCGCATCGAACAGTCGTTTCGCGCAGTTGCAGCATCGTTTTCTTCTTTATCGGCTATACGCTTTCGGGTCAACGATGTAAACACGCCAGTGCTACACTTACACAATGCGCACTGGTGCGGATAACTCATTTCATTTATATCGGATCGGGCAAACGTTGACTATGTTTGGGGGATACGCGCGCGCTCGGACACCGTCGCGTCGAAAATTAATCAAAATATCCGTCACATGTGTATGCAATTAGAAAATAAAGCGGAGCTTGCACGTTTCATGCCGAACTACCGCAAATAACAAAATGTCACGTCGATTTACCGTTTTTCCTCACGATGAATTCTCTCGACGAAAGGATCGGAAGATCGCCCATTGTCACACGAAGCGAACGAGGCTCGAGTGCGAGCAAACCCTCTCGAAAGCTGACGTCAAGCAGAGCGAGAGAAAACGGCGCGCGAGTGTCGTCTTTTCGAATACTCGCTCTCCTGGCGTCGGAGTAGCCCTCGACCGACGGAGCAACAGCACTTACGTGACTCGCGAACGATAGCGCGCGCAATCGAGCATTGTCGCCGTTGTCATCGAATGTAATCCGACGGCGATAGTGCTTCTGCTGTGTAGAGGGCACGGCTTTCGCGTTTGCGCGGCAACGATAACTCGCCGTCGATTGCGTCGCGCGCGGCGCTCGCCTAATTGCCGACGAGATCGAGGATGCTGCTGCTGCTGCTGCTACTGCTGCTGCTGCCGCCGCCGACGCGAAACCCGATCTCGACGCGCGCGCGCTTATCGTCGCCGTGCCGAGCTCCGGAGCACAGTATATATGCAGGATTCGAGCGCGCGTCTAGCTCCACATCGACGAGGAATTCCTTGAAAGAGGTCTTCTGGCACATAGACTCCTATGCACGCTTTCGGAGAGCGAATCGACGCCTCACCTTTCCCCTCCATTTCCCGCGAGGGACTATACATACTTGCTATTGCGCCTCTTGCCCCTACTACGCTTTATATGTATACACACACACACACACACACACACACACACACACACACACACACATCTACTCGCCAATGCGTATAGCATTGATTTTGTCTGCCTTGCGAAGTTAAGTACACGACTGGTTTTACCTTCCACGTTTTTTTTTGAGCACGTTTCGCATATATAGGCAGGGATCGTTGCTTTCATTTGCGAGTGATTTAGATTAGATATTTAATAAATTGGCTTAAAACTGTAGTTCGATGTGTTTTAGAAAATATGAGAAACTTGAATGTCTAATTGTGATTTTTTACATCACCTTGAACGTTAATTACAATAATATTAATTTTTAATGGCAAGACGTGATTACAGATATTAATTCTGCCTCGAAATACAAGCAACTCGAATGACTATATATATACTCGTATATGACGATGATATTCAGTGTCACTCCAATTCATAATTGATTTGCTGCGAAACTCAAATATACAGTTACTCAAATATACAGTTATAACCCATCGATTTTCAATCGATTGAATAATAAAAAATGAATCAACTAGAACGAATATGTCGAATTATAATTATGATTGTTCCAATGACGCTGAAATTGCATAAATCTATCAAAAATACGTACTCCACCGATACGACGGGAGAGAGAGAGCAAGAAGCCGCAAAATAGAGAAAGTTTCCGTGGCAGCCTACATACTGTTTCTCTGTGTGTCGTACGGAATTATTAAAAAAAAAAGAAAAAAAAACACGAAGACAGCCGAAAGGTCCAAAGCGTAAAACGGTCGGAATACACGGCGGGCGAGTGAGCGAGCGCAAGAGAAAGAGGGAGAGAGAGAGAGAGAGAGAGAGAGAGAGAGAGAGAGAGAGAGAGAGAGAGAGAGAGAGACCCGATGGAATATTCCACTGGCTGGTGCTCCATCTGGCGCGGCTGCGCGACCTTAGCGAGAGAGAGAGAGAAAGAGCGATGCCTTGCCCGTGTGTGTAGCTTAGCACCGGGGCCGGCCCTTCGTTTTGTGTCCTGACTCTCTCGGCAGCAGTGCCGTATTAAGCTTACTCCCGGGGCACCCCTTCGACCTTTTGTTGCTTTTTCAACCCTTCGTCCGTTGAGATTTGGGGGATCTCTGCCTTCGCGATGGAAATTTTTCGCGACGGCTTTAGTAATGCGAGCGTGGGGTCGATTTTGTTGCGATTGTGCAGACGCGCACATTACACGTTCTGGAGCTTTGAATGATCAGGCAGCTTCGGTTTCGCTACTAAAAATAATTAACATTGAAAGAAAAACATCGCGTTTGGTTTGCTGAGGACACGATAGAAAAGTAATATACTTAGTACGGATGTAATTAAAAAGGGAAAACATAAGCAAGCGCAGCAAATTAACTATAGAAATTTCTTTCCCGAAATTTCTCACAACTTTGATTCCGTGGGCTTGTGACTATATATAGCGACGCAGTTGAAAGTGTTCCCTCGTATTCCGTCACCAGGAAAAACATAATTTTTTTCCTTCAAACTCATCGACGCGTAACTAACAACAATTAAGACATTGAAACTCCTTGTTATGAACGATCAATCAAACTGGAATTTCTTCGTTCGTACTGTGTTACGATGGAAAATAACCTCGTACACGCCGAGGTAGGCCTCTCTAATTATTTGGTTCTTTTATCGTCATGTTCGAGCCATGGGAATTATGTCACTTCCATCCGCGCACGCACATCTTCCGCGGCCAGCGTGTGTTTTTGTTGCTATAAAAGCCAGCACGTGCCGCGGAAGTTGATGCTTGCACGAGATAACATCTCGCGAGCGATTACTGGACGATTTTTTTGTTGCGTTTTTGGCTTCTCTTTCGGAAGTAAGCAAACATGTTTATCAAAAAGTCGTTCGCCTAACTAATGCGACTTTTTATTCAATTGGCTCTTTTGTTGCACGCATACATCGAAAACTTGATCGAACGGTTGGAAAAGCATATTTTCGTCAATCGTGCAGCTCTTAGAACTGGATGCCACTTGTTTCCTGCTGCGAAGCGTCGTACGTTTCTCTCCGCGCTAGGCAATGAAATTAGAAAGGGATGTCGTGTGCCGCTCTTGAAATTTTGAAATTATCCAGACCTCTAGTTCGACGTATATTTTTTCGGTTAACTTGAATTCCTGATATACATGCGTGCAAAGAGCCGCGATCGCAACGGCTTTTGAAACTGGCGTAACGAAAACATTCCTCGCTGAATGGATTATGTTTTATGCAACGACGACTCGCTATTGGCTTTGTCGATGTGGCCGGCAAGACGACAATTTCGCTTGTTGTCGATGGACGGTTCCATCTCTCGCGAACGCGCATTCTATTTGCTTCGATAACCGATTCGTCGTACGGACGAAGTAGCAGGCGATATCACATCATCATCAAAGATAAAAACCGTTGGCCGATCGGCACTTCGCTGGCGAGAAGTTTCGGAAATTTTTTTCACGCGTTGAATCATCGACTGTGACTTTCGTTCTCGTTTTCCTGTTTTTTCATAAATTACACGCGCCAAGACGTAATCTAGATGCCATCGTCACTGACTATAACTACATCTCGGTAAGCCTCTCTCTTCGCTCGAATCTATCTATAAATATTCCAGCTAAGTTAGCGCATAATCAACTTACGTCCGTCGATATAGTTGCCGATATTCAATCAGTCGGCCGAAATGTAAAGTCGATGCGAGCGTTACTCAAGTTTATTTTGGACGGTTCATTAACGTGCCAAATTGTCTTCTATGACAATAGGTGAAAATTGGACTCTCGCGAACTCGTAAAATACGCCAGTCGTAGACTGCGCGTCGCGGCGTCCTTCACAGTATTTCGTAATTGCTATTCTCATTTGATACCGCCTGCGCCTCGCATTCCGAGAATCTAGATCAGATGTCTGCGATTATATAAAATACTTTGTCATTTTACGCCCGCGAGACAGCGGCTCTCTTGTGTTTTCGGCGCCATCTCAAGATTCCATTGATTTTCGCGAAAGAGAGCTGATTTCACGCGCAAGCCTTATTACGGAGCTCCCACGCGCAGTCAATTTCAAGCCCATATTGTAGTCGCCGAGTGCTGAACGAGGATTATTTTACGAAAGAAGGCATTTCGCAGCGAGAATTTTGGTAAAAAACGCTCGAACTGCAGCAAAGTGTATAGCTTTGGAATTTCTGCTTCGTTAAAGTACAAACACTCTAAAAATGTTGTGTAACAAGTTCGGCCGAAAAAACAAAAAAGGCATACGTTTTAGTCCGATATCACAGCGATGTTCGCGCTCTCAAATGGCAATTTACGGATTTTCAAAAATGGTCGCGATCATCGCGATCGCACTCCATCAATTTGCTCCGCTCCCCTTCCAAGAAAAGATGCGAGCCCCTCTGAAGAGTGGCACCGATCGTCGAACAATCCGTCCCTGATGCTGGGTGCCCCCACTCGTGTGCGTTCTCTTGCACATCCTGCTGAACCGGGGGTACCTATCGAAAGAGAAAGAGGAGAGGGGGAGAGGGTATACGGCGCGGCCGCGGCAGTTCGGCTCGGCAGCGGCAGCGGTGGCAGAGACAAAAGAACTCGGAGTTTTCCGCGACTACACTGGCATCTTCGACACTGGCTTACGATCCAACTCTGCGTCAGGACGCACGTTTGTTCGTCTCTTTTGCTTTGTGCGTGACGCGAGCCGGAATATTAGAGAATACGCGAAGATACGCACGATCCGCTTTGGACGCGAGCCTTCTGCACCAACACAAAAGAAATCGAGTTTCGTTGAGGTTAGGTCGCGCGCTAATACGTGGTGTAGTGCGTGATAGATGTTATGAGCGCTCGCGTAATGGACAAGAGCAGCGGCGCGGGTTTGCTCAAGACAACTGCCGGTGTCGTCAACAACCGGGTTGTCGAAGCTACGGCGAATAGCCTTCAACATCAGCAACAACATGACTGGCATGCTCAACAGCAGCAGAATGGTGGCCAATCTGCCACTGCTGCGGCGGTTGTCGCTCAAGAACAACCCAAGGAACAATTGATCACTGTGTCTGCCGATGAACAAACTGCGACTGTCAACGGCGTCAACGTCGTTCTCGATTCGTACTGTTCGTGTACTTATTCAATTTTTTTTATTTCTCTTTATTTGCACCATCATTTTCAACATTGTTGTTTGGCTCTCTTCTTTTCTCTCGCACAGAGCGTCTTTGCGCCGTACGCGCACGCTTTTAGCGGCAAGATTCGCGGAGAGAGAGGGTGGAGGGATAAGGGAAGCTTATCATTGATTAATTTTCAATAAGGAAGATAAGTTCTGTAGGGCGTTGAAGAGTTTTAAGAAAGATTATTTGAGAGTCAAATACGCACTTGACTTCGTGGTGATAGATCTCTGCCCGCGCGTGCAGCTGTTGATTCGTCGAGAAAGTTCCATAATTTTTCTAACATTTTTCGGCTATCTGTTGTCACAATTTCGTGTACTGTCGCTTTTCTTATCTACATTGATGATTAGAACACGATTTGTTTTCGTATTTTGATAACTTATTGAACATTGAAATTATCTATCATGAACAAAATATTTATTGGCTTGAATTTGTGTTGAGTTTGACCACTATTATTATAAAAGGGATTCATAAAAATTATTGTTACATTGAATTTTTTAATAATTTTGCTACAAATACATAGAATAAATTCTAGTTAAGGTGATATGTTAGGTGAGTCACAATTTGACAGAACAGGAAAGGCTAACATACAAGAATAGCTTCAACGTAATGCTTTAAAAGGCATTTTTGGAAATCATTGATCTTTTTTATAAATAATTCTTCGCTATTTTCCAAAAAACTAGGTTCTCATCAAATCATTCATTTTTAATCATTCATTTTCTAACTTAATCTGAACATTCCAGGGTTATTGGAACTTGCACATAGAGAATACCAAGCTGGGGACTATGAAAATGCAGAAAGGCACTGCATGCAACTGTGGAGGCAGGAAACAAATAATACGGGAGTCCTCTTGCTACTTTCTTCTATACACTTTCAATGTCGTAGGCTAGAAAAGTGAGTATGTTTAATAAAAATATTTGAATTGTTTTAAAACAAAAACAAATATTTATGATTTGACATTCAAAAATTACTACTCGTTGAATGATAATTGATCAAGTTTAGTAGTACTTGAGTAACAATTCTGTTCTCTACATTTAAACAGAAAACTAATACTGATTCTAACAACAGGTCAGCCCACTACAGTAGCTTAGCTATCAAGCAAAATCCTCTATTAGCAGAGGCTTACAGTAATCTAGGAAATGTTTACAAAGAAAGAGGACAACTTCAGGAGGCATTAGAAAATTACAGACATGCTGTGCGGTTAAAACCAGATTTCATTGATGGTTACATTAATTTGGCAGCTGCTCTGGTTGCAGCAGGAGACATGGAACAAGCTGTACAGGCATATGTTACTGCTTTGCAGTACAACCCAGTATGTATATTTTTATTTTATCTGCATTATTTATGTTCAAAATTCAGTTCGACAATACAGCTAACTGCATTTTTATCAAGAACCATAATTTCTAGTGCTATTAGTGACAAATTAAACTTTTGTTAGATATGTTAGCTTACTGTATTATTATTGTATTATTGTGTTTGTTATGTAATATTCAATTGTGATAGACCTGATAATTTATCAAGCATAATTTAGAAATGCCCAATAAAAATAGTACATAAAGAATTATTAATAATTGTTTTGTTAAACGTTAGTCGAACGAAATCATAAAAATAAATGCGGTAAAAACTTAATCATGTTTATTTGCGATTTTTTTTTTTTTTTTGATATTTTTTAGAAACTACACTTGTAAATCATTAACATTTTTTAAAAATTTCTTTTTACTTCAAATGGTATGATAAAATTATTTCTGTCCTATGCTGAAGTACTGTTCTATTCATTTTCAGGACTTATATTGCGTAAGAAGTGATCTGGGTAATCTTTTGAAAGCATTAGCGAGACTAGATGAAGCTAAGGTAAGTTCAACTCCATGTAGTCACATGGGAATTAAAAAAAATTCTCACATGAAACATTTTATGCATTAATACCATATTAATTATTGATATTATATTATTGATATTCATCCAGCATGATTTTATGATAAAAGTAATCAAATAAATGAAACGTTAATTACTCAAAATGGTTTAATGCATATTATGCATGTGTATCGACTAGCATAGTTCTAAGGAATGTTTAGAGTATGTTTATCTTTTTGATATAAGCACACGCAGAAAGCTTCCTTTGTTTATCCAAAAAGAGAAAAAATGCGCGCGTCGCGAGCTAATCATCTGTCATCGAGAATCTGTGATCTTATGCCATGTGTATGGACCCAAACAAAAAAAAAAACACTTTCCTTGCAGCATTAACTTTCTGATTACAGAAAATTTACTCTGCTATATGGGTGATGTTCAGTGTATTGTATTCGGCATTGAGTTATTTTTTTTCTTGATTCTGCTGTATTGAACATTCACTTTCAAATTTTACAACTGACTGGTGTCACATGCAATACCTGAAACGAGATGATGTTGCTGCTTTTACTGAAAACAGTGCAGTTACAAAAAACATTGAATGGAATAATTTTTGAAAGATTTTTTTAATTCTTAAAGAAAGATTTTGCATGAAATTAAGATTATATATAAAAGCATAATTACGTTTTTAATAATATGACAATGAAATTTTGATAAAGTCTGTTTTATCGTACAAGTTGCAAGATCCCTCGTAAAATTTCAACAAATCGCAAATGGCATATTGAGTAGCTTGCAGCCTCGTCGATGTATTTTATAAACTTCAGCTTGGCTACAAGTTGATCGAATTCGTGACTCTGCCGATCCTATTTGCATGCACGTTTCGGTTTTTAGTATTTCATTTAAATTAAATTTTTTAGCTGAATAATACGTTTTTTTTCGTTTGTTGATGTGCGTATAGATAAATAGGATCGGCCGCGCGCTACTAGCTTTTAAGTTCACTTTACAAGGGTCCTTTCATTTCTCATTAACTTTTTTTTTACAGCACCTTTTCTCTTATCCTTCTCTAATCCCATGATATAGTTCTCTTTCTCTCTTTTCATGCAAAGTCCAAATGCTTTTTCGATGAGCAATTGGCCTGAGACTGCTTGGCTATTGTAAAAAAATTTTTCAATCAAAGATTGCTTAGAGGTACATACATTGATTATTCTTTTTTATACAAAAAATGTTGTAGATTCTATTTATTTACACCATTTGCTAAGAAGAACTGAAACATAACGAAAATGCACAGCTGTAAATGCTTTTCGTTTCGAATGTTATTTGGAAATGATCACGTCGCAAAATGTTATAAAGTATTTTTGTATAGTACATTTTCAAAAGTTCAAAGAGTTCAAGAGAAAACTTTTTTTAGGAAACAAGATTATTTTTAGTCAAGAAGTCTGCTTTACCGCGGAGTTGGCGACCAGATGCGTTCATGAAAATGTTCCATTCAACAATATTAATTACAAACATTAACTGGACCAATGTAGTTATGTTTTCAATTTCAAAATTTGGAATTTTTACTTTTTTCTAATATCACAATATGAAACATTTCATTAGCGCATCAATTTTTGAACATTAGCTAGGTTTCACGGTGACAACGGGAGTTTTCTGCTACTCTAAAATTTATTCCAAAGAACTATCTGGTCCACTAACTAATTTTTTTTCTTCATTTTTTTAAACTGATTTAGCCAGCTAATTTTCCATTAAGTATTCTTTTCTTTCGTTGTAAAAGTACCTGACTAAATTTCATTCAGAATATTGTAATATTTCAAGTTAAAAAAGTAAGCTATTCAAATGCTTTTGTAAATCTTTGTGTGAGAATTGTACAAAAGTGTCCTAGTATTTGTACAACGTAAACGTCGTTTTCACTACAAACATTGTAATTAAATTTGAAATTGTACCAATTCGGCTGTAAAATTCTAAGATAGCGTAAAAGAAAACATATTGAACTTCATAAGCCTACAGAGCTTGAAATCAAGGATGACAGATAAATTTTGTGAAATAAAAAGAAATATTTGTACAAAGATAAAATTTAGTTGAAGTACTTCCAAAAAGAAACAAATGTATAGATCCCAAGAAGAGCAAGTGTATTCTAGTTGTATCCAAAGAAAGTTGCAAAGTTAGTGAGGCAGATAGGGTAAAACGAGTGAACTAAGAATTAGTGTATCGATAATTAGGAAAGAAAGAAAGAGAGAGAGAGTGAGAGAGAGAAAGAATCAAAAGCGCAAAAGCTCGAGAGCAAGAAAAGAGAATTAACGAAGCTGTGTTTATTGTCTGTGGAACGGGATTGATCGACTCTAGGAGAGCGGGACAAGTGCGAGACAGAGACAGGGTCGCTTTCTCCAACCGGTCCGATGAGGTTATTCGCTTCTCTCAGAGCATAAAGATTTATTTACGAGAGCTTACGAGCCGTACCTACCGACACAACTCCTACTGAAGGGTACTCTGAAGGTAAAGTAGTTCCCGAGGCCGGTCTCTAGCAAAACAACACTTATTTTTTTTTTTTCAACTTCGACGCGAACTTCGTTGATCAAGAATTTGTCGAACATTCATCTCTGCGAGATGTGTTTATGGAATTCTTTCTCAAACGAATTGCGATATTTTAGAGACTGGTCGTACGACAAACAAACACCCTTTATCTATGTTTTAGGTACGGATTATGTGCTGAAAACTTTGCAGCCACTCGTCTTTTCATCAGGATCGTCACCATCTCTCTCCGCAATCGTCTTTCTAATTTTCTTTCATTTTTTCAGACACGCGAAAATATGTGCTGTTCGCTCTTTTGAAGGACTATTGCCGATGGGAGAAGCACGGCAGATTTTCAGGCATAAAAAAATCTTCAGCGTGCTTTTGTGGTGACGTTCCTGACGGAAAAGCGATTGGAATGATTGAGAGAAAAAGTGTATAGAATCCAGAGACGACAGCTGATTTTTTTTTTCAAACTTTCAGAAGAATACCACTTTTTGTTTTAAAGAAAGGATCAAGAACTTTGCTCGTACGGTCGTTATGCCTTTTCACTCAAATTGTTTTCAAACTTTAATATTTCTTCGACGCAAGGTTTTTATTGTTAAAGTTAGAAACTAATTTATATTCTATTAATTTGTTGCTTTTATTAAATATTGCAAAAGTTGTAAATTCAAAGTTAAATTTTTCACTTCATATCTAAAGTATAGATCGAATCATAAAAATAGTTTACAATTAGATAGACGACAAATGGAATTGTTTGTAAATCTTGATGAGCTGAATCATTAATGGAAATTAGCCGCTGATCTAACGGCAGAAAAGGTGTGGCGACTTATATACGAGCAAAGAATCAACGCACACGAATGCTGGGCCTTCCACGAATACAACGACGACAGCAAAAACGACTGTGCATTTTTTCAAAAATCTTCTTACCTCTTATTTTTCTTTTCCGAAAGAAGCTTTTTTTCACTTTTCCTGCCTTCTGTCTTGGACTCTTTCATTGTCTTTTTTGCTTACTTCCGTCGTAAAGACAAGTTATTGATACTTTGAACAATAAAAACGGCTTAACTAGACTTGACTACAGATGCAGAGTTTATTGAATAATTCGAATCTACAAGATTTTTATTGTAATTTCTATCAATAACTTCTCAGCGACGAGAAAAACAACAACTTGCCTCAAGCGCTCCGCCTCTCATCGAAACGAAATCGGGGAAAAATTTCTAACAATATAAACGATACAAAACGCAAAGAGGCAAGAGACGCAGCGATCGAGGCAAAAGACCGCTTAAAATCTTATTATTCTACAATGAGAAAATACCATCGAGATTTCATATGTCCACGATGTACATATAAAATCGAGAGAGCTCTGCAAGTAAACAGAAAACACATGAGCCGTGACTGATCGAGACGATATGTCGTTTTGTTTTTTTCTTTCTTTGTCGACGACACGACGATGAGCACAGGCATGCTATCTGAAAGCGATTGAGACTAGGCCGGATTTCGCTGTGGCTTGGAGCAATCTCGGATGCGTGTTCAATGCACAAGGCGAAATTTGGTTGGCCATTCATCATTTCGAAAAGGCCGTCGCTCTTGATCCTAACTTTCTCGATGCTTACATCAACTTAGGCAACGTTCTCAAGGAGGCACGGATCTTCGATAGGTAGGTTTTGAACATTTTTTTCATTTGATTTGTGATCTGAGGGAATGTTTGTGAATTGACAAAAACAAACATTTTTTTATAACTCGAGTGGTCCGTCATTTCATTTTTCAAGACTGTTCAATTACACGTTGAAATGGCAAAGCTTAATGAGTTAATTAACATAAAACTTCTATTTTTACGAGTGCAGCATTGGGTAAAAAGTAGATTCTAATCTCACGTACATATATCAAAAACGCGAAACATTAATATGACATCTAGATAAGAACCCTTTTTTTTCAATTTTAGAAAGCATTAAAATTCTGTTAAAATTTCTCGATCTCAATGCTACCCATTCATTCTCTCAGAGCAAGATCATTATTTGTCACCCATCCTATCAATGATTGAGCATATATTTTCTCATAAGTATGTTAAATATATTCTACGTTATTCGCGTTTTCGTGGCCCAGAAAAACGTGGAATTAAAACGAAATTGCCATCTTAGCTGCTGCATAATCCATAAGCTAATTTAGATTTACAAGATAAAAGATATTGTTATCGGATCTGTCGTGAGACCTTGCTACAACGTCACGAGAGAGGGAGAGAGAAAAAATATAAAATCGATAGTGAAAAAACACCAGACGAGCGATCGATTCTCGTCTCAGAAAAAGGGAAAATGCGCGTGCGAGAGCTCGGCGAGCGCTACGCCACTAATTTTCCGAGCTGAGTTCCCGTCTGCGCCAAGCTTTGTGCGCGACTTTCCCAAAATTGATGTGGGCACATCTCGCCCGCGCGTCCCAATATTAGCCGCAATACTGGCTGGCAAAACGATTTCAACGCGGCAGAAGAGCCCTTTACCGCAGATAATTTGGACATTTCCATTCGGCGCAGCTGAGTTCGCTGGGTGGACGGAATGCACTTTATAAAATGCCCGACCTCTCGCGAACCGACAACGGGCAGCGAATTTTCCATTTATACATTCCCGACCAAGCGCAATTGCGGCTAACGCGATTTCACGGCTCTCAGCGACGAGAAGCTATTTATTTATTTTTTTTTTTTCGTTCGTCATGGTCTTATTCAGCAGCGCCTCCGCTGTTTCCGACGCGCGAACCTGCTACTCCTCGGCACGGATGAGGGAGGCGGCGTTTCGTGACCCTCGTTGGAAAAACAAGCTGTGCGGGTGGTGGGGGAAGGCTCCGGTACGTCTGGCGACCCCGCGCGTACTCTCGTTAAACGGCTGTTGCCATCGCGCCCGATCTACGCGGGAACTCCTTTCCAGCGAGCTCAGCGGCGCCTCGGCAGCGCCCGACCAACGGGGCTGAATTGGGACGCTCGAGGCTTCTCGCTTCCTTCCACGGGGTTCGTTATCGCTCGCACGCGCGCTAACCAGATCGCCTCGCGAATCCCCCTCGATAAGTCAGCGAGCTGAAAAGATCGATACTTCGACGTACAGTTTCGCTGGTCAAACGAGAAAGTATGTCCCCGGCGGCGTTATAACGCAGCAGCCCGGCCGTTAATCACACCCAAGCCGTGTAATTAATCCCATCCGAGCCTGAGGGTGTTCACCCTCGCGTATCCACCCTGGAGTTGCGCACGCGTTGTGTCGTGCCGTCGCGCGCGAGCGGTTAGGGGGGGAAGGGGACGGAACGAGTCGAGCAACTCCCCTCCCCCCGGTGCATTACCTCGATTAGGTGACGTACGGCTCGCGTAAAAACGCCCGCGACTTAGATTGCGCGCGCAAAGATTTTACGTGCCCTTCGCGTATCCGCATCGATTTAGCTTTGGCGCTGCGACCACGCGTCCGCGCTGCGTTAGAGCGCCCATAATTTTCGCTTGTAAAGCTGTTTTCGCCTGATTTTAACGAGGACGAGGCCGTTGCTATCGTGGCCGCTTTTTTCCTTCCGTTTTCCGGAGGTGCGCGCGCTCTCCCTTCCTCTCTCTCTCTCTCTCTCTCTCTCTCTCTCTCTCTCTCTCTCTCTCTCTCTTTCTTTCGAATGCCAACAACACGGGTTTCCACTCCGCCGCACGCAGGCCTCGTGAATAACGCATCCTGCGTTTGTCGAGATTTTATTTTTCTTCGCGAACGAAGATCTCTTTTAAAAATAAAACGACGACAACTCTTGCGAAAGCTCAATCGTTCGCGTCGTAATCAATGGGCGCATTTGATTCGATTAAACGAAAGAGAAGCCGGCGCGTCTTCTCTCGAACGCTGTTCCAGCCTCAAGCTCCTCCCCGAGGAAATTCATTTGCTCTCTCTGACCTCGTCTCTCGACCCTCCCGAGAACTTAAATTCATTGGAACTGTCGTGCATGCGCGTTAATTCCATTTGAATTTTATTTGAGAAGCTTTGCGCGTGGATTAAAAGGACGTCGTTTGGTTTATGGTTTCTCTAAGCACATCCATCTCCTTTTTTTTTTTCTTGCTCTCGTTGTCGAAACTCGGTAGACGGATAATCTGTCGGTGGTTTTCTCGGGCGGTCTGTCGCGCTTGGCTTCCCTTGTACTTCCCTCCGAGATATAACTTTGCTCTTTGCATGGGGCAACTCCATTCGAAATTCGAGCTTGATACTGGTCGACGACGACTGGCCAGAGAGAGAGAGAGAGAGAGAGAGAGAGAGAGAGAGAGAGAGAGAGAGAGAGAGAGAGAGACAGAGAGAGAGAGAGAGAGAGAGAGAGAGAGAGAGAGAGAGAGAGAGAGAGAGAGAGAGAGAGAGAGAGAGAGAGAGAGAGAGAGAGAGAGAAAGAGAGAGAGAGAGAGAGAGAGAGAGAGAGAGAGAGAGAGAGAGAGAGAGAGAGAGAGAGAGAGAGAGAGAGAGAGAACTCCGTTGTTCTGAGATACAAGATCCCTTTGACAGCTGAGTAGCTGTTTCTAGTGTTGCCGAAATAAATCGATTGACAACTATTCTGCGATTTTCGGACTTTGATATGGAAGGGGGAACTTTCGTTGTATTTTTGGATGGCGTATGCGATACTCCATAATACTGTTCGGCAATCATAAATTTTTCACGATTATTGTCAATATAATTGTGCACCGAGAACAATATCCTGGAAATACAACTGCGATCACTTGCACCAACGCTTACGCAAGCTCAACGAATGAATCTAAAAACTTGCCGATCTAGTAAACCATTATTTCACGTGTAAGCAAATAAGTAAATTCAGGCGTCGCGGTAATTCACCAATGGGGCGGACGGTTGCACAAACTAGGTCGCTCGACGTTTACCGAACCGAGGTACGTGAGTTTGAATTGGAATTAGGCGACATAGTAAGCAAATTTTCCCTATTACACGTTGCTGCGATAGACTGCCGACGCGGTCTGCTCTGTAACATCGTTTCTTCTTCTTTTTTTTTTCTAGCGCAACGTGAGTTCCGAAGTATTTTGTTGTTATTTTGATAATCTGCGAGCGATATCCAGACGACAATGAGTCAAGATCGCCCCGGTCGGATATATGTTGCACTAGGTGCTCGGGTAACGATTTTCGAAAATGATACGTGCCTCGATGACTGCAGACTTGATTGTCCACATCCACTGCCTTCCATCGATTCGATGCGCGCGGAATTTTCCCAGCCACGCGGCCACTTGACTTTTCTCACCTTGCCTCGCGCGAACGTGGAAAATCCGAAGACTACGTGCCGACGGGCACACGTCTGCCGCTGGGGCGGGAGGGGGAACTTCTTGGTCTTCTTGCTCGTTGCGCGCCGACGCGATGAAAGGCAAGGACTGACGTCGCTTTTCGCGCGACGACAAACCAAGACAGCGATGAACAAACTATTGGTAGAACAACTCATTCTCCCCGGCACCAAGACGATTGTCGCTCTCTCGCTGTTCACGGATGGGCAGAGTCAATCTTCCGCTGCGGACGCGTCTCTCGCGGTTGAACAAATCGAGATTTTTTCATTAGTACTTCTCGGGCGCTCGAGCGATTTTTCAAATGGTCCGAGATTAAATTTGGACCGCGCAGAGGAGAAATGCCGCTGCGCTGCTCGCCGAGTCGGGCGTGCCGACTGCGAGCGATCGAGCCGCTCGTCCTTGCGGGCGAGGAGTTCCTCGCTCGGCCGTGTCGCCTCGGACACTCCGCGACAGCCGAAACGAACGATCTATTGGTTGTTGACGGGCAACATCTTCACTGTGAATCAGCCCGAGCGCGCGCGACTATTCGTCGTGAACTCGGCGAGCCGTGTCTCCCAAAAATTTGCCGGGTGCCGCATGGGGTGTCCGTCGTTTGCTCTATTTATAGATCGCTATGGGCGCGTGTGCGATGGGTAACAGAGGCTATCTGTAACGCGGCTATCCGAAAAGAATAACGGGGCGATGCGCTTTTTCATTTTTAGCCAGCGTTGGGCTCATCTTCGTCGATACATTTAAAAATGCGTTACCGAAGAAATTATTTCGGTGAGATCGCCCACGGCTTCGTCTAGTTACGTAACGGAATAGTTTCATCACGGAATGTTATGTTTTCGTGAGTTTCACTTTCAGTTTCTTGATAGCAGTTCAAGCTCCGAGAGTAGATCATTTTGGCGTTCGAGTTGCTAACGTTTACGAACTTTGATAAACTGCAAAGAGTCGTTCAATATTCAATTCGTTATCGAAACCGCAACGAATAAGGAAATCCACGCGTGTGAGCAGATCCCGTTCCTAAATAGAATTGGAGTAAATCGGTAGCCAGCGTACTTGACATCGGCTTTTATTGCCTTTTAGACGAGGTCGCGAGAGCTTATGAGAGGCTTCTGATAAACGCGCTACGTGTATGCGGGCAATGCCATCACTCAAAAATATTTTAACTTCGTAGAGTCGAATGCCGAAACGTGCGCTTTTATTGTTATCGCTCGAGCTGCGCGGCGCGTCATAAATCCCCGCCGAACATTTGGCAAGCAAAGGCTTTTTCCACAATAACCAGAGAAACAGAAAAAAAATAAAGAGAGCTCATTTTTCGCGGGCGCGTGTTTGGCGGCGTCAATAAGGCTACGTGTATTCGAGCACCTCTTGATTCCATCCGCGCGTGGACAAAGAAGTTCTGTTGTTCA